GGAAGGAAAGAGAGGAAAGAAAAAGAAGAAATAGAAAGAAGAAAAGAAGAAAAAGAAAGAAATAAGAGTCAAAAAAGTCAAATTACAGCTCAAAGAATTACAAGCATATGAGTAAAACTCCCAAACATCTATCTGCCAAAGCCATTCCTTAGAGTCAGTCCTAGTGTTGATAATGAACCAGAAGACAATAACGGTTATTTTTAATATTGATTTGTTTGATTATCACTTGATTTAATTTTAGTTTTTTTATAACTTTGTCAATTAAATATATTAATTAAGTTTCCAATTTTCATTATTCATTAATAATTTGTAGTTATATCAGATATAATATCGAAAAACATGAAATTAAAAACATAAAATAAAGAATTACAAAAGAAGATAGAAGACCTAAAGGAAACAAATAGAATTCTTATGAATATTAATGAGGCATTCAGTTTAGAGAATAATCAACTTAACAAAAAATTAGACCGATACAAGTCACTTCGTCAGCTAAGAAATATGTGGCAAGATAAAGATTGATCACATAAACATCAAAAAACAACAAAAAAAAGTAAATGATCAATCAAATCTGATTATTATGATAGTAGTTCAGATGAAAGTTCAGGTTACACATAAGATAATGCATGAATTATTGAAGTAAATGAAAAAAGTGCAAGGGTTGTATGATTTATATAAATGACTTTTATATCATCATTTATCAAATTTTTATTTTTACAAGCAATTTAGGTGGAAATGAAAATCATTTTAAAAACAATACCTACTGAATGCAATTTGGACTATAATGAAACATTTATAAGCCAAAAGAATTTGAAAATAAGACAGAAACTGATTTCAGAACTTATCAAAGCTTTAAAGCTGAATTACAATCCTTCATATAATCAAATCACCAAGTAGCTCAAGTTACTTCATAGGTCCAAAAGAAACTGAATCAATTACAAAAAAAAGGGTCAAATTAATGACGATGACTATCGATTACATGCAAATGGGTAACTAAATAAAGTATAAATTTCAGTTGGTTTTTTAATACTCATACTAACAACTTTTATATATATATATACAATCTGTAATTAGAAAAAAATTTGTTAGATAAAAGGTGCAAAATCACTTTATATGACGAAAAATTCAAAGATTATGAAATATGATCAAGATGAATTGATTGGTATATTATGAGATAATAGGTATCATTTTCTTAAAATTAGCAAAACTAATAATGAAAACCTGTTAAGTAAGCATTTTATATGTGTATATAATCGCTTATGACGTTTCAACGAGGTTCCATATTTATTTGTCCTTGTTGTTTATAATATATATATAGATTTACCATATTAGCTTATTTTATTTTTAGTTAAAAAACCTTTTATGAAATATATTAGATCTGCATTCCTTGACGTTACAAACTACTTAACTATTGAGACCTCATGTATATAATGATAATTTGCAACACTTTAATATTTCTTTTCCTCCAAATACTTTAAACTAGACTCATATTAAAAGTGATCATGATGAAACTGATTCAGACATAAAAGGAAGTTTCAAAAGTTAAGGTATGCATAGTTCAAATGAAGCAGAGTCCTCAACTGCTGAAATAGTTTAAGATGTAAGTTCAGACAGGGTTACTACTAAAGGTGGTGAGTATATTAAAAGCATAGTGTAATTTAATATTTTTTCTGAATTTTTGCTAATATTTTTTATTTTCAGGTAATTGATTCAACTTATGAATGTAGTAATTGATTTAACATGAAATTGGTTAAAAAGTGATATAAACAGAGTGAGAGATAATAATAGTAGTAATTTGTAGAAAAAATTTATAATCTTATTAACATAAATATATAGCTAGTAATTATGTTAATTTGTAATAATAAATTTAACGATTTACATCATTTGCGATTAAATATAATATATCAGATAATTGAAAGTCAGTAGTTTGATATAAAAATGCACAGTGATTCGATATAAAATTCATAAAATTGGTATTAAGCGAATTCAGTGGCAATGATTTTGAAGACTTTCCAGAATCACTTTACAAATT